GGGGGGGGGGGGGGCAGCAGATGGCACAAGAACAAAAGCAGCTGAAAGAGCTATTCTCCTCTAGCTTGGCAAGGATGGAGAAGAGAGCTGCCCCACAAGTCAGGACAGGAGGCTTCACCCAAGCCCTAACTCCCCAGGCCTCAGAACAGTGAGCTCTGCCTCAGTGATCAGAGGGAGAGTCCCACACCTTTCTCTGGTCTAGATTTAGGACTTGAGACCCACCACAGGATCAGCCTTCTCTGCCCACTCATTCTCCAGGCCTTCTATCCCTGTGCCCTTCAGGAGCCTAATAAAAGAACCAACAGGAGGGGGGAAAGGTAAACCTTTATTTGGAGAAATGAATTTAAATGACCACTTAAAACCCCCATTTCATTTCTGAAACAGAAACAAATAGAACAAAAGATTGTCTATCAGGCTACCTGCCCTCTGCCATCTTCAGCCATTTTTAACTGCATTTCCTGGCAGGAGAACAGCAATGGGCATTGTCTTAGAAAACAACTGAGCACTGTCTTGAGGTCATCTCAGGAGGTGCAGAGAGAGAGAGAGAGAGAGAGAGAAACAGAGTGAACGGTGGGGTATGGACAGACAGGCCTGGGGCTCAGACAGGCACATGCCCAGTACATAGGAAACAATGTTTAAAAATACACACATAAATTTCCCAGAACCTAGGTGTGGAAAGTTTATAACCACAAACACAGCAGAAGAATTCAAGCTGGGTCTTTGGCTTTAAAAGAAGGGAGAGACCATTAACGTCTGGCTAAATGTTCCTATCTCCAGCCTCTCGGCTATCCCTTCAGTCCTGCTCTGGAGGCTGAGTTGGGAACAGAAAGACAGATCAACAGGGCCAACAGTTTCTGTGAGTTAAGGGATAGGAGCAGCAGCTGGCCCAGGAACACCAGGGGCCACACCCAGCAATAAAAGATTAAGGTATGCAGGTGACACATGTGGGCACCGGGATTCCCCTGAATGGGCCAGGATAGCCTTGTGCTAGGACAGGGAAAGCAGAGGCAATGATCAGCCAAGGCCTTGCTAGTTTAAACAACTCACTTTTGCCCAAGGCTGCATTTCTGCTGAGAAGGTTTGGCCTGAGCTAAATAGCAGGTTTTTCTAGGGAGAAAATGGAAGGGAATGAGGGAGGCAGCAAACAGTAAAAAGTGGTGGGAGAAAGGAGAACAAGTCCCTGAGGTCCTGAGTCCCAGCTGAGGCAGGTGCAGAGCCTGCCACCTCCTCCCCTACTGGAATCCCCACCCTTGCCCCATGTCGGCGGGCTGCAGAGTCCAGTGAGACAATTGTTTCCTAAGGGTTCTTTCTCCTCACCCTGAAGGCGTTTTAAACCTCAAATCACTATCCAAGCCCACTGACCCCACACAAACTTCTGCCCTCCTGAGGGCAGCCTGGGAAAAGGGACAAGCCCTAGTGAAAGCATACCGGGCCTGTGGGGAGCTCTGGGTTAAAGGCTCAGAGGCCTCTGGGGCAGGTAATTCATCCCCAAATTTGCTGTTCCATGCCGTGGGACCCATTCATTCCCAGGGCTCAGATGATGAGTATGCCTGGCTGGCATGATCGCCTAAGGAAACGCAGGATAAAAGGAGAAGGGCCCATGCCCCACTGCTGCCTGGCAGCACACAGATACCAGGTCATGCTCTTGACCAGCCCCTAGGCCAACAGTCCCTGATTAGAAAGGAGGCTGATCAGAGGCAGGCATGGCCACGCAGAGCAGTCCCATCTTGAGAGGATGCACACATACTATACACATCTCACACGTGTGTGCCTGGCAAGAGGGCTGGGTGCTGAGGTTGTGAAGGCAGGGAGGAGGTCGGATCAGAAAGTACCACCAAGAAACGGCCTGAAAGCAAATAACCAATGAGATCAATAGCTCCCACAACCCTGGTAATTAAAAATCAAGAGGAGCGCTGGATACATGGAAGGAAAGGGGTACCCCCTTTCAGCCTCTCCAAGGGCCACCAAGTATGTGGCACAGGAGGATTAGGAAAAGGTTGGGGCAGGGAAGGGACCACAGGCAGAGAACCTGGACAGGCCCTGAAAAAATCTAACCATGGGAAAAAAGGAACAGGGAGGGGGAGGGGGAGGGAGGGGATGCAAGTTTCTTGGATCTAAGTTTCCAGAAGCATGGGATATTTCCACAGTCTCTGATCCAGTGAGCTCTTCTGGAAGAGCAGCTCTCTTCCCCTGGAAGCCCCATCATGGGGCGATGACTTCCATCCCGAAGCTGGCCAGCAGGCAGAGGTGGTCTGAAGAGCAGAAGGGGTTGGGTAAGCCATTGGCAGCCCAGAGAATCTCTTCAGAGAGGAGGGAGAGACGGCCCAGGAGCTTGAGAGTTCCGTCCTGATACAGCCTGCGATCTGGGGCACAAAGCGAAGCCAGTGGTTAAAGCAGTCAGTCACAATGCATGGGGAGGGTGGGGCCTATGGAAGCTATGTGTTATGGAAGCTGCATCCCCTTGGCTGCCCACCCTCCCTCACCTCCTCCTGCTGCCTCTAGGTGAGGCCTCATTTTCTCATACTCCATGACATATCAATGCTTGAAGCAGGGTGAGTTCTGGGGGACTGTGGCAAAATGGACAGTGTATGCCCAGGTCCAACATTACAAGAACTTCTGAATTTCCATAAGAAACTGGAAATCCAAATTTTTCTATAAAAAAAATCTTATTTTTAAACACAGGCAATCAATTTAAACATTCTAAAAGACCTGCTTTAAACAAATAGACATGGGGCTGATAGATTGCTACACTGTGACCACTGGTATGGAATGAGGAGAGAGGAAACAGGGTCTCTAACCTAACCAAGTTCCTCACTAACCAGCTGCCACTGAACAAATCCAATAAACTCATGATGCTCTATTTTCACCTCCAAAATAGGGATGGAGAGTGTTTGTTCCGCCCACCTCTAATGACACAAGGATAAAAAGAGAAGTCAGACAAGTGGCCTAAGGGAAGTGTGATGAGGATGACCAGTGCTAGGTAGGTACGAAATCTGCTCTTTTGCTGGTCAAGTCCCAGCAGTCCAAGCCATGCCACAAAATGCCTGACCTACCATCAGTTGTTCCAGGGACTCATGGGGGTGGTTTCTAGGAACTCAGGATCCACCAGGCTTACCAGTCCTGTTCCCATTCTCGCAGGACTCAGCTGAGAAGAAGATGTAATCCACCGTTGTTCCGATACCCAAGGGCATTGTGGTGACCTCTGGGCGGCAATGCTGGGGCAGGAAATGAGTATATACCGAGGTCAGGTGGAGGCAGTGCTGTATGGTGCCTATGGCCCTAAGGGATGGAGGGGACAATTTCAATCAGCAAACATTATTGAGCTTTTCTCAAGGTTACTTTCTCTGTGGGTTTTATCAAGTATTTTTAATGAATGATCCCAAATAACAGTCTCAAAAAATTCCTCCCCATGCTAAGAGGCTGATGGTCTTAGCTAAAACTAGCCTAGAAACAGACACATGTATACTCAGTCCCCCTGGCATTCCTCACCCCCACTCTCTACTTGCCAGCTGACGAAGCATACCTAATATACCCCTCCATAGGTCAGCAAGCTCTTCTGTGAGGCCTGACTCCCTTGAGGAAAAGTGTGTGGACTTTTCATCTGCAAGAACCTGGGTGAGTCACCTTTGGTCTCTGTACACCTGTATATCCCTCCATAAGCTTAGCAGGTATTAGGGGAAGGGAGAGCTCAGCAAAAAATGCTCGCCCAAATTAGCCTCAGGAAAACCAACAGGAATCTCTCTCATATACCTGGAATGCAAGCTGAAGGGAACTGGAAGAAGGATTACCTGGGGAAGACAGGCTCAGGCTCAGGCTCAGATGTGTCTTCCTCCAGAACTGACTCGGCCCAGCCAGCAGGTCGCTCTGTAGAAGACCGGAGAGAAAGATGTTTTATCATTCGCAGACAGTGAAGCAGGGTCAGAACCTTGCACCCTGAAATCCTTCTCGGGTCCGTGATTGGACTGCTCCAGAAGGGTAAAAGGAAAAAAAGAAGGGTGGAAGAAAATGGACCAAAGTCAAGAACCTCAGGAAGGCAGACATAGGCCTCTAATGTAGACATTTATCTTCCTTGACTCAGACAGAACCTTTTCTTAAAATTTAAATTTATTTTTAAAAGGTACTATAGTCACATGGTACAAAAATCAAAATGTTGAGAAAACTATCACTAAAGTTTCCCTCCCATTCTAGGTCCCTTGCCACACAATTTCCCTGTCCAGAGGCAACCAATGGCACCACATTTCTGGTATATTCCTCCAGAGATGTGCTATCACACACCATCCATTTTGTGTGTGTGTGTATGTATAATATATATGTACATATACATATGTACACATACGCATATACATAGTTATACACACATGTATATATACACATATGCACAAAGAAGACACACATTACCAGTACCAGGAAAGAAAGAGGGGATATTATTACAGATCCGACTGACATTAATGGCTGTTATGGACTGAATGTTTGTGTGTCTCCAAAATATGTTGAAATCCTAACCCCCCCCAATGTAATGGTATTAGCAGCTGGGGCCTTTGGGAGTAATTAGATCATGCGAGTGGAGCCCTCATGAATGGAATTAATGCCTATGAAAGGGATCCCAAAGCAAATATCATACTTAATAAAGAAAACAACAACTAAGTTACAGGTCTTACACTTCTCTATTTCAAACTTATACAAAGCTAAAATAATCAAGACAATGTGGTACTAGCCTAAGGATAAACATGTAGATGAATATAATTAAGAGTCCAGAAACCCATATGTCCATGGTCAACTGATTTATCACAAAGGGACGGGTGAGTGGAAAATGACTGCTAATGGATATGGGGTTACTTGTGGGGATGATGATTTTGGTGATGGTTACACAACTCTGATATACTAAAAGTCCCTGACTTGTATACCTTAAATGGGTGAATTTTATGGTATGTGCATTTAATCTCAATAAAGCTCTTTGGATAAGGAAATATTACAATTTCATGCCAATAAATTTGATAATGTACATGAAATGAAATATTCCTTTATATATTTTATATTTCCCTGTTAATTTGGGTTTTTTTATTTTTGTTGCTATTATAAATAGAGTTTTCACTGTATCTTTTAACAAATATGTCATTATTTTTATATATGACTACTATGGCTTTCTGTTAATATTGTACCCAGCTACTTTCCAGAATTATCTCAATGCTTATGACGGCTGTTAGTTGATTCTCTTGGATCACCAGTTATATAATGATACTGACCGAGACTAATAATTTACCCCTCCTTTCCATTTTTCACTTCTATTTTCTTACCTATATTTCTATTTTCTACTTCTAATTATCTCTGAACTCAGTTGAATAATGGTAGTGATTATCCTTGTCTTGTTCCTAACTTTGCTACTACTGTTTTCTTTAAACAGTATCCTGGTTTTTGGAGTTGAGATAAACTCTTTTTTTCAGGCCCACGGCAGATCCATGCCCTCCTCCCACTACTCGCAGCCTCAGAGCCTAGTTCCAGGGTGTACTGCCACCACCACATGTTCCTACTAAGATAAATGTACTGGAATGGGGTAAGGGATGGTCTCTTTTTCCCCCTAATTTAAGAGAGCTCCTTTTAAAAGAATCTATAATAGATGCTGAATTTTAACAAATATCTCTGACATCTATAGGATGCTTTTCATATATTTAAATAGATTTCATATATACATATTAGCATGATAAATTATATTAATAGACTTTGCAATATCAAACTATCTTTGTATTTCTGATCAACTCCATTCGGTCATGGTGTTGCCCTTTCAATGCACTGCTAGGTTCTCTTTCTGATCTTTTATTTAAATGTTTCTGCATCAGTATTCACAGGGGAGAATATCAGTCTGTAGTTTTCTTTTTTTGTGTAATTGTCAGGTGTTGGTGTCAAAATACTTGCTTCATAAAATAACTTGGCCCCATTCTTCCTCTGTGCTCTGCAGCAATTTAAATAGTAGTGGAATTACAAGTTCTTTAAAAGGTTTGATGACATTCTCCATCAATCTGAGCCTGGTGTTTTTCTGGGGCTGCATCACTGAAAACTTTAAATTTTTTCTCTGTGGTAGTTATTTAGATTACCTCTCTCCTGCAGTCATTTTTTTAGTAAACTACATTTTCTAAAATTAATATATGCAACTAAGTTTTCAATTTCTTTGCACTTAGTTGAGCAAAGAACCCCCTTATAATCCTATTAGTACTTGTGTATCTGGACACTTTTACTTGCTCCTTCAACAGATTAGCAAATGGGTTTATCTAGTTGACAGTGTGTTTTCACCAAAACACCAACTCTTAAGAGTTTACTAGATCTACTATTTTTCTTTCTAAATTATCTTCATTTTTATCTTCTTTCCTTCTGCTTTCTTTCAGTTTGTTCTGTTTCCTAACTTCTTAATTTGAATGCCTAATGTACTTACTTTCATCTTTTTTAATTAATATAATTCTATGGTTCTATATATTCCATATCATTCTATGATTTTTTTTCACTGAACAGTTTTAACTATAATCCCACAAATATATGGTATCTTCATTATTATTTTTTAGGTATTCTGCAGTTTCAGTTTAAATTTCACCTTTGACTTAAAAGTTGTTTAAAATTTACTGAGGTTTTTTAGGTGGTATAATATATAGTTAACTCTTAAGAATTTCCTATGAAGACTTAAAAAGATGTCTCTGTTTTACTTTCAGTGTTCAGAGTTTGATACATATCTGTCAGATTTACCCTATAACATGTTACTTAAGTCTATATTCTTAGTTATCTTTTATCTACATGATCAGTTAGGGAGTAAGAAAGATGAATTAAAACCTTTTACCATCAGTTATTTTCTGACTATTATTCCTTGTTAAATCCTAAAGTTTTCACTTTGTGATTGTTGATAAAATGTTACTTGGAGCATAAAAATTCATAGCACTAATATCTTCATTTTGAGTCACACCCTTTACCATTATGATATGCCAGGAAAATCAGCGACCAGCAGGACACTGAAAATGGTTTCCCCCAGTCCCAGGTTCTGTCCATGCAGCACTGTGTACAGACAGCACTGTGTGTGTGGAAAGAGCACTAGCGCACAGGCCACAGAGGCCTCCACCTGAGCTTCAACATCTTCTGGGCCCATTCAGCACCCAAGTAAGCGAGTGGAAGCCAAGCAAGTAAGTTCTTCTGCAAGTACTAGGGAAGGGGATAGTAAGTTGTGTCATGCATGGGCCAGAGAAGCTGGATTCAGAACTTTCCTAGTTAGAAACTGATCAGAGAGCCTTTGCTCTATGACCATCTGGTCAGTTTGTAAACAGCGGTTTACAAAAATCACCTATTAGCAATGGTTTTTTCTGTAATGCACTTAATTGGGCACATGGTTTGTGGTTAAGTGTTAAAAGACCTGAAGGGGTCAATGTTAAGTTCAAAGCTCCAGAGTTTCTGTAAACATGCAAGCACTCATGAGAAAGAAAACATAGCCCGGCGGGGCCTGGCTCAACGGTTGAGCATCGACCTAGGATCCAGGCGATCAGGGTTCGATTCCCGGTCAGGGCACATGCCCAGGTTGCGGGCTGCAGCTGATCAATGACTCTCTCATCATTGGTGTTTCTATCACTCTCTCTCCCTCTCCCTTCCTCTCTCTGAAATCAATAAAGATATAAAAAAAAAAAGAAAGAAAACATAGTAAGCCCTTCCAGTGTCTTTATGAACCATATTGGAAAGACAAATAATTAATAATTGAAAATATATGTAAGCAGGGGCCTTAAAATTTAGATTCCATTCTCATTAATTATTCCCTCACAAAGGGAGTTGGGGAGAGTGGGAATCACAATGTTTTTTATTACACAACCTGGGCAATGTAGAATACTCCAGTGCAACACAATGTCAACTTGTGGGAAAGTTAGACCGTCACTACCTAGTACTGTAGCTCCTTTTGCAACTCAAATGCTTTACATTAAAGTCAGTGTCAGTCAAGTTGACAAGTTTTGATGTGCACAGTGGATTGGATTACTCTGGTATGGGCCTGGAAATATTATATGGTAGGACATCTAAAGGTATCCTCTAGAAAAAAGATCACACACTATGATCTCACTGTATTGCACTTCAGTCTTTCTACTCATGGTCTAAAAATGGTGGTAGCTTTTTAGATTTGGAGTCTTTAAAAGAGATTCATCAGAAGCCTTTTCAGGAGGGGTACTGAACAAATGGAAGGGCATGTTCACAGTATGTGGTGAATGGGTCTAGTCTGTTCACCCAAATTTAATCTCAATTTTCAAAAAACTGTTATTATTTTGCATTGTTAGTGAACTGGGTATTTTCCCCCTGTATACAAAGTGATTGTAAGTATGTATTTTAAAGGTTCTTGGGTTTAATTTTGTTAAAACTGAAATGCTTATTTTATGTTTCAAATACAGCACTGATTTAAAAAATAATAATAATCTAGTGTTAACATGAAATTATCTATGTGGGATCCTACTACTATTTAACATTAGGATTTTATAATCTTAAAACACTGAGCCACCACTTCCCTGCCTGAGCCCAACTGATACAAGCACTATCCCAGTTCCAGGCACATGCTAGCTGCTCAATGCATGGCAGCCATCATCATCATTATATATTGCTACAGTTGTAATAATACATTTACCTTTGCAATTTAAAAAAAACTGAGCCATTGAAATATTCACAGCTCTGTGCAAAATGCCAATTTAAATTAAATTCCTACAAGAAAAAAATAAATTGATTGCTTACCACCAGTCCTTTTCCTATAGTTTTTTCCAGTCATTGCTTGGTTATTTTAAGTTAGTCTTCTAACATTTCTTCAAAAAAGGCTTTTGGTAGAGTATAAAATTCTTGAGCCATACCTTTTTTCCTTGAAGCCTTGCTCCCCTGTCTTCTAGAGTTGAATATTAATGTTAAGAAGTCTGACGCCAACCTGATTATTTTTACCCTTAAAAGTAGCCCAATCTTTTTGGTTCAACCGCCCAAAGGATCCTTTTATCTTTGACTTCTGGTAACTTCACTAGGATGTTAGTGTTGCTTCTCCTGTGTCATTTTTTTACTGAGACATGGCACATCCTCTCAAACTGAAGATTCAGATCTTTTCATCTTTGGAAAATCTTCCCTGAATCACACCTTTAAAGACTCCTTTTGTGCCACTGTACTGATTTTCTTCTTTGTGAACTCCAGTTCTGTGTTGAATTGCCTTATCTTCCACTACTGTCATTTTCTCTCTAGTCCTTTTTATCCTTTCACTTCCTTTTTATTTTGCTCTCCCCTCTTGTCCTGTCTCTTGTCTTGTTTTCAGCAATATCTATTCTTTCTTGTGCTGCATCCATTTTTGTCTTCATTTTATGTCATTTTTAAATTTTTTATTCCATTTCTTTCCTCAGCTCTGCAGCTTACATTTCATCTTCTGATGTCTTGCCATGTGCCTGAACTTACATTTAAAAGGCAATGGTTTTATTTTTGTGCTCTTATTTTATAAAGGCAATTGCTTCATTTTTTAATTCATGGAAAAAAATAATTATAATTTTCATATGCTCCATGGCAAGAATTTTTGCCTTTGAAGTAAGTATTCTTTATCCGCCTTTTATTTTTCCTGTCCTTCTACCTTTTCTTCTTGTAGTATTTTAATACAGCTCTCATGCTGGTTTCTTTGGGGCAGCCCAGCTTTTAATTAGTTGAGGTTTTGCTACCAGTCATTTGTACAAAGTTTATATAAGGGAAGATTAAAGATGCATTCCAAGTAACAGAAATTCTCCTTATGACACAGGGTGTGTATGAGTCCTTTTAATCTTTACTTCTCCCCAGGCAAAAGCTAGGTAGCTCTGTATATTCCCCCCTGCCACTTAGACCGCTCAATGCAAATATGGCTTGATTCCTTCATCAGTCTTTCCTCTGCTGCCTCTTAGGACTAAAACAGGTTGAGATAATGTCCTATTACAACCTGTGCATCCTTTCCTTATTGATGGAACAAGGATTTTGGTTTTGTGCTTCAAGTGCACTCCTCACCTTGGAGAAAGGCACTCGGCTGGCTCTTTTTGAGATCCACATGCTTCACAGATAAGTCTCCCCACACTTCTTCCAGCACCCCTGCATGATCTCTAGTACTCATAGCCATTCCACTTGTGCTGTGGTTCATAGTTTCAGGTATCTCCAGATCTTGTTTTCTCAAAGACGGAGTTTACATTTCTTTATTCCATTTTCCTTATTGCCTCAGAGTGGTTTCAGAGACAAGAAGAGTAGAATATCAACTATACTCTGCTGCATTCAATCTGCAAGTTTTCAGTAGCACTAACTTATTACAGCCAGGACTACTGTCACCTTTTGATCCTCAAAGTCCTATCATGTGTATCTTCTCTCCCATATATGCTGACCACAAGCTAGTTAGTAGCAACTTATGCCTATAAAGGTTAAGTGGCTCACTCAAGGTCTTAGAGCTGATCAGAACCCAGGTCTTGACTCCTGGTCCATGTTCTTACAACATGCATGTATATGGCCACTAAACTCCACTGACTTTCCTTCTAAGCATACTTATTACCAGAAGCTGACCTCTAAGAATTATACCTAGGAAAAACTAAGAAATCACATAATTGACAAACATCAGGGGTAAAGAGGTTTAAAAAAGACCAAGAAAACAAGCTTTGTTCCCATTACCTGGCTTAGTATCCGTCACTCCTTCCATAAAAACCAGTCCTACTGGTCGCTGACAGGCAATGCTGCAGAAGCGGAAACGTAGCAGGAAGTCTCGGCTATACTTAAGTCTCTCTGTAAACCAAGAAAAGCCATACAGTAAAAGAAAGGAAGAGGAGCCACATGCTGAGCCCTCCTTAATATCAAAAAGCTTCCAGCATAGGGACACAGACAAAGTCTGGCTCAGAAGACAAGGAGATTTTCCAAAGGCTATGATTTAAAGTTGTCCATATCATTAGGTGGCCAGGAGGACAATGAGAAAAACAAAGGAACTCGCTAAGGGAATTGAGGGCATTACACTTTCTCGTCATTGAGGTGCCAGCGTTCTCCCAAAATGGGCAAGAAGGCACAGCCAACCAAGAACATGGCACATGCTCACCTGATCTCTTGGGATGACAGGACATGACATACTGACAGCCATCAGTGATGCCCAGGGCGCTGGGCCATAATGGGGCCTGCAGCTTCCTCTGGTAAAGCTGATGGGAGAAGTCTTCCTGTCCAGATACCTACAAGGAAAGAGCAGGTTGGAATGAGGAAACCAAGATGTAAAAAGGAAACAGCCCATTTTCGGAGACATGGGGACAAATATACACACATACGGTCACATACTACATACACAATATAAGCAAAACGTACATCTTAGGGGAAGATTAAAAATAAAGAGCTAATTAAGACTTTTTTTAAAAACTAGAAACACTGAAATGTCCACAAGACAAGAAAGGGGTAAGAGAGTGAGGAGTGTGAATCAAAGAGAATAGAACTGTATGAACATGTGATCCCTTAACTTTTACCTCAGAAAAATTTTCACAATTTTTCACAGAGAATATCAACTTTCAGGGGCTTTAATGTGCAATGGGAAAAGGTTATCCTGATCTTTGGATCTTCTGGATCAAAGTCTAGCATCTTAAGCCTATTATTCGGAAACCACAGGGTTGGACCAAATGAGAAATGCACCAAAGCACTTCACCGTATCTACGTCACCATCCTCAGTCAAAGCCAATGAGCAGCCTGGGAATGAACAGAACGTAGCAGGGGAAACATTCGGCAACATCAGTCATCTGCATATCTCCAACACGTGTAGCAAAATTCCCTTTATTTCACTTAACAACAAATATTTGAGTGCCAACTATGTAAGATACGAGCTAAGTGCTGGGAAGAGAGCAGTGATAGGCACAATCTCTCTGCCCTTAAAGGACATAAGTTTCCAATATGCCACCTGAAGTAAAACAGACCTGGAATTTAATGGCCATTTACTAGCTGTGAGACTTTGGGCCAAGTTAGTTAACTCTTGGGTTCAATATCCTCTACTATAAAATGGGATAATAATACCACATATAATTAAGAATCTTGATAATAATAACCACTACCAAATTACTGACTGCTTCCTTAGTTCCCATTACCTAGAACTGGAAAACACTTCATGCACATTATTTTATTTAATCCACCAAACAAACAAAAACCCTCTGAAGTCGGTCCTATTATATCCCCAGTGTCTAGATGAGGCAAATGGGGCTTAGGGAAGTTAAGTACCTTGCCCAAGGTGGCAGAGCAGGGATTTGAACTCAGGACCGCCTGGCTTCAAAATGAGTGCTCTTAATCACTAAAACTAATGGCACCTGTCACAAGGTAGGCACTTAGTAAATTCTTTGCCTGTTTCCTGAGCTCCTTGATTATAGCAACTTTCTGGCAGGATAATGCCTTTCTCTGCACACATGGCAACCAAGACATTGCTGGCACTTGAGTAACCTCACTAAAATAAAAGCCCAAAGTGCTCAATGATAATTCAGTCATTTTGTGTCCTTTCTCCACTATGCCATGCCAAAGGTTAAGCAATAAGTTAGATGGATCAGTAGAAGCAAAACAGAGGAACAGGGAGATTAAGTGACATAAAAATTAGCACAAGTTGAATGCCCATCAGCACAGCTAAATAAACTATGATAAACTATGAGATATCTATGCTATCAACATTCAGCAGTTAAAAGGAGTAAGATAGACCCATATACATTATTGAGTGGGAAAAAAAAACAGCTACAAAATGAAATATACAATAATATATCATGTTTATAAGCACACACACGATAGATTATATATCAGCTGTTAGAAGCAATCACAGCATAATAGTGGAGGGGAGAGCTCGGGGGCCAGACCACCTAGTTACAAATCCTGGCTCCACCACTAATGACCTACATAATCTCAAGTAAGCAAATTATTAATTCCTCTGTGCCTTAGTTCCCTTATTTATAAAATGGAGGCAATGATAGAAATTGTGAAAATTAATGAGTTAATACATGTGCTTCAAATAGCAACTGGCACACAGTAATTGCTTGATAAATGTAAATTATGATTACATTATCGTGAAAACACAGATATCACTATAAATACACAGAAAAAGACCTGGGAAAATGCCACCAAACTTCAGTTATTACTTGACTTTAAGGGGAGAGGCAGGAAATGTAGGGAATGAAAGGGGCTTTGGCCCAATTTTATGATATTTGAATTCTTGTAAGGATGCACTTATGTATTACTTATAGACTAAAAATAAATTAATGACAAAAACTGAAAGGATTTCAATATGCCAAAGGCACTCAAGAGTTCCTAACTTCCAGGCTTTGGGCACAAGGAAGCAGGAGGGAGCCAGAACAGGTCTAACTTAAGTCCCTGCCACAGAAGCAGCACTGGATGCCAAGGCCCGAATCTCTCCCTAGGCCATGTTCCCACCCCCCGCAGTGGCCTGCCCCATTTCACCTTCCAGGCTGGCATCCCATGGTATTGGAGCTCTCCGTCCCTGATGAAGTTGTAGAGAGGTGAATCAGGGACGGAATTCAGGTCCCCACACAAGATGATGGGGCAATGGCTGCCATCTGACAACCTAGCCACTTTGTCCACTTCAGCCAAGAGAATGGCCATCTGGGCCAACTTGACATCACCTCGGCGTGGGTTGTACAGGATGTGGGTATTTGCCACACACAATGGGGCCACTGAGACTTGCCCCAGGCCTTCTGGGACTAGTGGCTGCAGCAGCAACACTAAGCCCACATTATCCCGATTGAGGAGCTCCAAGCCAGGCCGGAAGTACTCCACAGGGCTGGCACAAAGCAGACGGAATCTCGTGGGCTTGTAGCAGACAGCACAGCCATCCGTCTTACACCCGGTCCTCCTCTTGTAGAAACAGGTAAAGCCTGCAGGAACACCCCACCAAGGAGATGGATCAGAGTCCTTGAACCCTGAATCCCTCCAACCAGTGGCAGTAACCCAGGTGGGTGTGCATAAGAAATTGCTCCTGCTGCTCAATAATGGGAGTTCTTGCCCTTGCCAATTCCCTGGTTCTGCATTGGTTCCCTTACAGTTTCAACCAGATGACTGAGAGGCTCTAAAGGAAAGGAAGGAGAGAAGGGTTGAAGCAATATAAGCTGACAAGAAAAGCATGGAATCTAAAGTCAGACAGGTTGGCCCCGGCCAGTGTGGCTTAGTGGATAGAGCATTGTCCTGCTTACCAAAGGGTCACAGGTTTGATTCCCAGTCAAGGGCACATACCTGGGTTGCAGACTCAATCCCCAGCCCTGGTTGAGAGACAACCAATTGATTAATGTGTCTCTCTCACATTGATGTTTCTTTCTCTCTTTCTCTCTTTCTCTCTTTTTCTCTCTCTTTCTCTCTCTCTCCCCGCTCCCTCCCTTCCATTCTCTCTAAAAATCAATGGAAAAAATATTCTCAGGCGAGGATTAACTAAAATAATAATAAAATAATAATAAAATAAAGTCAGACAAGTTGGAATCCCAGCTCCTCAACCTACTTGCTTTGTACCTTTGTGACCCTGAGCAAGTCACAGAAATTTTGAGAACCACAGTTTCCTCAGTGTAAACTGAGGATAATAATACTCAGCTTCACAGGGTTGGTTACTCCAAGGATTAGATGGCAACATATGTCACAACTGCTTTAAAACTGCAGAACTCTACTGTCTTTCTCACCCACATAAAGAAGGAGCTAGCTTACAGGTGAGACTGAGGGTTTACTGAGACAAAAGGAAAGCATGGTGTCTTCGGGAGAGAGCGCAGACAGGGCTATGGGAACAAAGACTGGCAAACACGCCAGGGTGCCGCATTACCCATCATTCGCAGAGAGGGCTCCAGCTGCTCCCAGTAATGATCTTCCTGGACTTCCTGGAGACACAGGATCTGGGAAATTGACAAGGAAACCAATCATTCCAGAGTGCCCAGAGTGCTGAATATAACTCCTGCCCTAGGAGTAGGTAACTGTGGCCAGGTGGACAGCTGCTACGGGTCTCAGGCAGGGTCACACTGAAACTTCTCACAGGGCTGACTCTTCCCAGATAGCCAGCCCCAGCAAGAACAGGCCCAGAGTTAAGCTGAGGAGACCAGATACATATACTGGATTTTCCTGTTCCTTGAGTTCCTCAAGTCTCCCTCCCCTGCACAAAGGTGCTAGAGTGCACCTAGGGAGAGTCATCTCAGCATCTGCCAAAACTCATTTACTTCAGGCAGACAAGCTCCAGCCCCAGGAAGGACTCCAATCATATGAACAACTGTGGGAATGAACTCATTTTCTTAGAGCACTGAGAAACAGCCCAAGTCCAAAGCAAATGCAAGATGCACTGCCCTCCCCACTCTTCACTCACATCAGGGTCCCAGTGCTGGAATTCCTGCATGAGATTCGCAAAGCGATAGTTCCAATTAAGGATGTCTGGGTGGCAGTGCAGATAGAGCTCGGAGCTCTGCTGCATCAGGTCCTGGGCCAGGATGTTATAGGACATCAGAGTGAACTGGAACTGAGGGCCATCCCCTGCCTCCAGGCCCTGAGCATCTGGCTGAGTGGAGAAATCCTCCCATTCTCGCCACAAGATTTCTGCAAAGGGTTGGGAAGAAGAGGTCCATGACAAGTACATGTTACCCACAGGCCCCACCATCTCCACTCCTGACTCAGGGATACTGTGTCTCAAGTTCCTTTTCTCACCTTCCATGTCACCCATCCCTCTCTGTGGCAATCTGAGCAGAACTCTAAGGACATTCTCAGACTAGACAGTAAACTCCACAAAGCCAGAGACAATCTTAGCCTGTTCACCACTGTATTCCCAGTACCTAGCATAGTACCTTGTACCTAGTACATGCTCAATAAATATAGGTTCACAATTCTTACAACTGACAAATCCATTGGTCTCTGTGGAATCACTCAGGTGAATATGCTTAATGGTCACCTGAGATTAAAGACACTTCTAGAGTAATCTCAGCCTTGGGTATTTTCTAACCTCTATATCTGGAAAAGTTTGTAGGGCTAGAAATCATATGTCCCCCATCTCCCTTAACACACTGAGCTGCATAGTGGATTTCAAACCTATATGAGCCACACAACTCATTCTTTAAAATTTAATGGAAGCCAAATATGTACGACAGATAAAACTGGAGTTATTCTGGTTCATGCAGAGTGCAGGCCACAAGGGCTCTCCACCCCTCCTCCCAGAAAGCCTTTGGATCACCTCCAGAGAAACAATAGCATGGAGAATCAGAATTAGGGTCTGCTTTGTTCTGCCACTACCTAGCTATATGACTTTAGGCATGTCCCACTACCTCTCTGCACTGGGATTATTTCATCTGAAGACCATGGGGCTAGATGAGATAATTTTTAAGACCCCTCTAGATCTGACACTGTAAGAGTCTCAGAAAAAGAGAATGCAGTGGCAGAGCTCCCTAGAGAGAATCTTCTTTAGGAATGGCTCTGCCCACACCCATGACAACCTGACAATCTGCTACCCTGGCTCTCTCAGCCAGTTTCAGACTCACCGTGATAAGGAATTTCTACTGGGGGAGGCTGCAACTGCCCCAGGCCCTCAAAGGACCAGATGGGAGCCTCTTCCTGGGGCATAGGCTCAGGTGCTATGCTCCAGGCGACCACTGCAGGGTCCTCTTCCCACTCCTCTGCAGCCAGGGCACCCATTGGGAGAACAGCACAGTCTGCATACTGAGGGCCTGTCTGCATGGGGACAGCTGCCCACATCGGGCCCTCGACCTCTGGCAGTGGCTCCTCTCCTAGGACCTCAGGGGAAGGTTCCTCCAGGTTCTCTGCTGCCTGCAGGTCACTCAGCTGCATGCTGGACCACTTGTCCTCGGAAGCAGCATCCTGTTCTCCAGGATTATCCATCAGGAGTGCCAGGCTGCTCTGGGCTAGTCCCTTATCTACCAGGGGACCCTCGCTCACAGTTGAGAGCAACTGGCTCGACCCTTCTTCTCGCCACTGCTGCAGCAGGCCCTCACACTCTTCCTGGTCCAGGCCCTGAGGGGCCATGGCAAAGTCACCCTCTATCTGGGGGGACGAGCTTTTCGCCAGGAGGGCATTTTTTCGACATGTGAAGAATGCATCTGAGAAGAAAGCCAAAATACCATGTTATAAGATACAGCACCGCCCCACCCACACCCTCCTCCCAACTAGAATGTGAATCCCATACAAGAAGCATATTCGCCTTGCTCATCACTGTTTCATCAATGAGCCTACCCATTTCAGTACCCGGAACTTCGTAATCAGAGTGAAGTGCTTACTATGTGGCAGGCACTATTCTAAGTGCTTTACAAGTATTAACTAATTTATATGGTAGGGGTTGGATAAATACTCAGTGTGGGAATAAAAGAATGGCTGACTCACATAATCTAGGACAGAGATGGTCACATATAATCACACCTCTATAGCTAGAGGTTAAAACTCCTATGAAACATCAACTCTCTGGTTCTAAGAGCCACATTACATTGGAACCAGAACTTGATCATGAATTAGAACTGTGGGTTATGGCGTAACACTGAAATTAACAAAATCACATGACCTTGGACAATGCCCCTAGTGAGATGGACTTGCTTTGACTATAAAAAGGGGACAGGGGAAGTGTGAACTAGATAATCTCCAAGATCTTTCCTAGTTCTATAAATCCCTTAATCTGTGAACACATTGCAAAGGAAAAAGTTCTAAAGTAGTCAAGAAAAGTGTCTCAAAATCTATATAATTGACTTAACAAAGGCCCCTGGTGCTCTTCTCAAAGCTATTTATTCTACTCATAAATCTTCACAAACTTCATTCTTAGCTTTCCCATTCCATAACACAACAGAGGCTGGAAATCAGAAGGTGCCAACAAGTAACAGCAAGAGACAGCTATCATCTTTCTGCTACAGCAGCCACAAATGACAGCCAACAGGCAAGAAAGCAGGTGGGAAAAACTCTAAAATTAGAGCCCCAAACTCCATGCACAGTATTCTGGTGCAAGCAAACACTCCCTACACGCCAAATCATTTATGGCACAGAACAAGTGTCAAGCATGATGCTGACCCTCAATCACGATTCATTTTATCTACTTTTTTTTTTAAGGCAAGAAAACTGTCTAAATGGTTCAAATGTTGACATTACTGTATGGCCTATGTGGATTTAACAGTGGTTTTCAACCAGTGATGACTTTGCTCTTAGGGGACATTTGGCCTTGTCTGGAGACACTGTGGTTGTCACAGCTGGGGGGATGCTACTGCATCTAGTGGTTAGAGAGTAAGGATACTGCTGAACATCCTACAGTGCAAAGGACAGCCCCACAACAACTTATCCAGGTCCAAATGTCGATAGTGCTGAGACTGGAAAGCCCTGCTTTAAACCCACTGCCTGGGTTGCTGGCTTTAGCCTCAGGAGCTTGATAATTCCATGTCCTTGGAAACAACCTCCACGTATAACAGATGGCAAACGTTCTTTTATTTACATGTGTGCTGTTACCAGTTTCCAAATTTAGTAGGTTTTTGTTGGTGGTGGTGATTTGTTTTTCAGCAGCAGAATCCTTTTATTTAAATTTTAAAAATCTGTAGAAACCAAATAAAGTTAAGACAAGTGGGACTTCTTTAATTGGGGGGGGGAGGTGGCCCCTCTTGAGACCCCTAAAACTCTTAGTCTAGAAACCTCTGGACTAGCAGTCATGAAGGCCGCCATACTGGACGCTGGAAGAGCTCCAGAAATGACAGGAATATGCTTTAGTTCTTTGAAAACAATTACTCCTATGGCGTTTCTCATTCCTCAGAAGTAGACACGCCGAGTGCCTACTATTTTCTGTGCAGTGCGCTAGCACTAGAGACGCGGTAAGCCAACAGACACGGCCTGCCCTCCCTCCTGGAGCTTGCATTCTAAAAGCAGACAGGCAAACATTTTATACGAAATATACATAATAAATCACACACACACATATTGCGTAAAGTTCCGGAAAGGAAGAGCACAGAACACACAGCTGGACCCCTTATTTCTAAGAAAATACCCGTTGGCCTGTCCTGCCCCCTAAATTGCCAGAGAAGTCTGGAGTCCCGCAGGATCTCTGAAAGGAACTGACGGTCTCCGGCGAGCATCGGGGAATTTAAAGACCAGGAATGAAAAGGGCAGGCGGGTCGTGAAAAGTCAAAAACTAGCTCTCTCCTCTCGCTCAAGGATCACCTGGGCATCGCCTCCAACCCACTTCATCTCCAAACGCACAGCCTCAGAGCTGAGGTTTAAACGCGGCTCTCGATTCCGAGCATGTTTTTAAACCAAACGCTGCACCGAGAGAGCAGAGCTGAGAGGTGCTGGGGAAGGTGAGTGTGCGGTTAACCCCGGGGAACACAGGGACGTCCCGGTCTTCAGCCGGCCGGCCCGACCCTCAGAGAATTCGGGCATTCGCCTAGGCCCGGAGTTGCCCACCCTTCCCGACCCCCCAAAGCAGTGACGCAGCGGACCCCGACCTCTCTGCACCCCGGAGCGGGAAGGCGCGGCTTCTGCCCCTTCCCCAGGCCCCCTCCGCGTTAACTGCGGCCCAACGCCACGGGCGTGAGCAGGGCGCCGCCCACAAGGGTCGTCCGCCCGGCCTGGGCCTCCAGGAGTCCGGGACTGGCACCGGGGTCGAGGGCCGCCCCCCGCACCTTGGCGCTGCCAGGGGAAGGTGGTCGTGAGGCCCGACGCCGCACGCCGCCTCAGCCCCGCGGGGTCGGCCCGGGCCTGG